ACCCAAAGTGATAGGGAACTTCAATAAACTTCACTAAGTACATTGGGTTAAGTCATCAGTTGGAATTTAGAGCCCCAAGTTACATTAAGAAGTTAAGATACTGAATTTGAACATCAGGAAAATTTGTTTTTCTGTGATAAAGGGGGAAAGATATAGGAATTAATTGCCTCTGGATTTTAAGTCAGTCTTTAGTGTTTACATGTTGCCTAAAAGAACAGTTATTGACAGATGAGCTGCTATCTGCTCATCCTTGGGTTGGATGCTTTTAGTTCTTCCCCAATTAATGATAGATTGCACCTAGGCACTCAGATTCTGTCCTGGGGATTGCCTGAGCGTATTGGTAGAGACCTTGTCCTAAGTGCAAGATCTTCACATCCTTGAGCCCAAGGAGTTGTGCTGGGATAAGCCTTCCAGTTTCTGCTGGGAAATGTTTACCTGCCTGATTCTAAGAACTGGTTGGCTTTACTACCAAAATATAGTGTCTTGTTTTTCTGGAAAGTGGAGTTCAGTAAAAGAGCTCAAGTTATTAGGAACGAATTTGCAAATGGCTCTTCCATGTGCATAGAGCAGGTGGTGCCATCTACTGGTGACTCCTGGCTTCTTTGGTTCCTGGGAGGAGTGTTGGCCACCTTGGTACTCTATCCTCCTATTTCTTTTTGTTTGCCAGAGGGCATATGCACGAGGGAAAGGGGAGAGGGGAGAGGAAGAAAGCAACCTCTAGTGGGGTATAGTTATACCACCATCGCTTCTCCTCCATTCTACATCTTGTTGGGATTTGGGTCATGCATGCATATATGCCTGGTGTTTTTCAAGCAGTAAGGGCCAAGACTTGAGCCATGGTCAGCAACGTGGGATCTGACTCCTTTGACCATGAGGCTATTAGGCCAGCCTCCTCTATTTTCACTAAAATATACAGCTGACCCTTGAACAACATGGGTTTGAACTGTGCAGGCTCACATATATGGAGCTTTTCCATTAAATATATTGGAAAATAGAGCACAATACTGCGAAGGTATTTTCCTTGTGATTTTCTTCATAACATTTTCTTTGCTCCAGCTTACTTTATTTTTATAATATAGTATACAAGACATAAAACATATGAAATATATGTTAACTGACGTTTGTTACCAGTAAGGTTTCCAGTCAATAGTAGGCTATTAGTAGTTAAGTCTGTAGGGATCAGATGTTACACATGGATTTTTTACTTTGTGGGTTAGTCACAAAGAATTACCTCTTTCCTTTTTTATTCCTTGCAAGATGTTTCACTGTAGAGTACATATGTTCAAGGCTTTTGATTTTTTCCTTTGGGATGGTTTTATCAATATATAACAGATATATGTAACAGTATTTTTGTTTTTTTAAAAATTTTTGTCAGAGGGTGCATGCATTTGCAGAGAGAGAGAGAGACAGCTTGAGAGAGGGAAAGTGAGAAAGCAACCCACTATTGGGAATGGTCACACTGTAGTCTCTTTTCCATCTTTCTTTTTTCTACAGTGAGTGGCATGCACGCGACATGCTCTGCATTTTTTTTTTTTAAGGTTTTTGCCATAGGGCATGTGCACTTGCTAGAGAAAGACAGAGAGAGATAGAAGGAAAATGAGAAAAATCACCACCCTGTGGGTTGACCATACCACAGTCCCTCATCCATTCTCCTTTTGGGATTTTAGGCACATGCATACACACACCCGGCATGGTTCTCAAAGCACTGGTTCTGGGGACTTCGTGGTTGGCCATGTGGGAGTCCAATGCCTTAACCACCATGCCACTTGCTGGCCTCATATCTAGTTTATTTTTCAAGTCACTGGAATTCAAACCATGTAGTCAGCCATGTGGGATCCAGCCATCTTAAACACCATACGATGGGCTGGCCCCAGATATGACAAAAATTGGTTAGAAGAGCCTGTAGAGGATTATAAATATTTAAGTTTTCAAAATAAAATTCTGATTTTTCCCCAATACTATGAATGTTTTGAAACGCAAAAAATACTGAAGAGTAGAGCCATGGTCACCTGCCATTTGTACTCAGCAGTGCTGATGTATGGCCCATGAGTTGAGTTGTGAATGTACTTAAAAAAAATTTTTTTTATTTAATTCCATTTATTATTATTATTGTTTTAATTTGACCAGACAGAAACAGAGAGAGAGAGAGGAAAGGGAAAGCGAGAAAGCTAGCTGTCAGATCCGAGATTCAAACCACGGTCAGCCATGTGGGAATCCAGTGGTCTTTAACCACTACGCCACCTGCCTGCCCTGAGTTACATAGGTACTTTTGTTGATCTGTTTGAAAGGAAGTGGGTATGATGATCACACCTAAACATCTCAGCTCATGCACCTCAAAATGAAGCTATGGTGTGATTGTGTAGCACTGTTACATCATCAAAATAAAAATCTTTAATATGAACTGATATTAACTTCCCCAATTAAATTTCTTGTTTCTTTTTCTTTTTCTTTCTTTCTTTCTTTCTTTCTTTCTTTCTTTCTTTCTTTCTTTCTTTCTTTCTTTCTTTCTTTCTTTTGTTTTTTCTTTTAGGTTTTGCCATAGGGCATGTGTGCTAACTGGAGAGAAGGACAGAGACAGTGAGAAGGAAAGAAAGAAATCACCCCTTGCAAGGGATTACCATGCCACAACCCCTTCTCCATTCTCCTCCTGAGATCTTGGGCATGGATGCTCATGTGCCCAGTGTGGTTTTCAGGCCACCAGGTCTGGAAATTGAACTGTGGTCGGTCATGTGGGAGTTCAGCAACATAACCACTATGCCACCTGCTGGCCCCTCTCCAGTTTCTGTAAGTTGTCTTTTATAGCATTCATTTTTGAAAGCAAGATCACACATTTCATTTGGTGGTTGATTTTGTATTCTCTTGTCACCTGGAACTGTTCTCTCATCTTTTTTATACTTTTGAAATTTTTCAACTTTCTTTTTAATTGCCAGAGGGTATGTGTGCTAGCCACAGAGAGACAGAGAAGGGGGAGAGAGACAAATAAAGAGATAGAAGGGGGAGAGAGACAGCCCCTCCTAATGGGGCAAGGTCACATCATAATCCTTTTTCCTCTATCCTTCTTGTCCGGATGTTGGGCGTGCACACACACAGACATGCACACACACCTGGTGTACTTCTCAAGCCACTGGAGGGAGCTGGGATTTAAAATGTGGTTGGTCACATGGACTCTGGCTCCTCATGCACAGTGCTTAACCATTGTGCCATAGGGCTAGCCCTTTCTCATTTCTTGAGGGAACTAGGGACTCGCAGATCACCCATGAAGCCGCTCCTGGCTGTTTTTGGTCATTCTCCCTGCTGGGTCAGTGCTGTGAGGCCCTGGCCGCCCTATCTATGGTGATGCAGCTTGATTCAGACACAGCGCCTGACCTCCGAGTCCCGCACTAGCACCAGTCCGCTGTACGTCATTCAAGAAGATTAGTGTTAGAAGCTATATCACTGATCAGGTGTGGTTAAGTCCATGATCCATTCTTGTAGAAACACATCCAATTTCATGCCTGTCCATATATGTCAGAGACTATGCTAGTTGTTGGGATACAAGATGGGCCCTTGGCTTAGGGTGCTGTACGTGTCAGAAGGGTATAGTGGAAAGCTCTGGAGACTTCTTGGAAAGGAAGTGGGACTCTGATGAGTGTTCATAAGCCACTGTACACTAAGCAGGAGTGTGTGTGCTAACTCTGCCCTCTGGGGGACCAGAGCTGGAGAGAGCATGCTTGAGAAGTAATATTCTTCCATGTGACCTTTGCGCAACTTGAGTAGGGAGGGACAGCAAGGGGCTGCTGCCTTGGGGGTGAGCTCAGTGATTTTAGCAGGTGGGTCACATGTCTGGATTCACACACAGGAAATGGAACATGCACTGGAGCTGGCAAAGGCTAGAAGTACAAAATCTGGGGCAAGCTGCTTTGAGATCTCCTCGAGCACTCTTTTCATTGCAGACTATGTCTGGGGTCTCTGCGTTCCCTTTCCTTGGAACACCAGTCCTGCTGATCTCAGTGTATTATTCAGGTCATCTCCCCAGAGAGGCCTGCCCTGACCACACAGCCTGAGCATGTTGCTCACCCACTTTCCCATTGCACGCTCATTCTTGGCATGGCACCGCCTGATGGTTCTCCTCCTTGCTTTGTCTGCTTGTTTAGTTTGTTCCATTACTTATAACAGAAAAAACACCTAAGTCTGGGTGACTTAAGAGAACAGAGGTTTATTCATCTCAGTTTGGCAGCCCAGGGTCCGAGGGCCACACCTGGTAGGTGTCTTCTGGCTGTATCTCAGCATAGTGGAGTGCAGGACCTTGAGCAGAGCATGTGTGGGCATCTCCTTTCCTCTTCTAAGCCCACCAGGAGTCGGTCATGGGACCCTGCCCTGGTCACTTACTCCTCCAACTCTGCTTTTCCACCCCATGAGGGTAAGTTTCCTTTCCTGCCTTCACAGTACAGCCAAGTTCCATCATGGGACTTTCGGGGGCTACTAAACCACAGCAGTACTCCAGAGGCATAGGGGCCTTGCGTGCTGCCTGTGCTGTGTCCAGTGCTACGACAGTGGTTCATGTGGGTAAGAGTGGTGGTAGACATATGTGGTAAAAGTGGCCACACAGTGAAGTGAGGGGCCTCTAAGCCGGTTAGGGTGCTGCTGAGTATGATGTGGCTTAGGACGGACATTAGGCAGTTGAGGCTGCTTTTTCCTTCCCACCTAAAAATAGGTATTTTAGAGGGGCCAGCAGGTGGTGTGGTGGTTAAAGGTTCTTCCTTCCCACATGGCCGCCTGCAGTTTGAGTCCTGGACCTGGTAGCTTTCTTTCTTCCTTTCCCTTTCCCTTTCTCTCTCTCTCTCTCTGGTAAAATTAAAAAAAACCAACCAAACAAAAAAACACCTAAATGGAATTAAACAAATAAATAAATCTTGAAAAAAAAAAACTTATTTTAGAGGATTGTATGAAAACTGTGGGATCAGAGAGACCAACAAAATGCTCTTCAACTAACAGATGCTCTTCTGCTTTTGTTTCCCTAGACACCATTTGCTTTTGACTCAAGATGATCTGATGTCTTCTCATAAAGCCCACGAACATGATGGCCACACAGACGTTAAGTATAGACAGCTATCAAGACGGGCAACAAGTGAGGGCTTGCACTTAACCCTGCATCCAAAAAACATTGACCTGGTGCTAAAACATGGGCAGCACTGCGTATTTGTAATTCCATTTCTGTGATGTTGCACATTGACTAATAAGGATATGATGCATTTATTACATGTTGGTGTTGAGAAAGATGAGCTATAGGATTATTGAGATTGTTTCTTTAAATGATATACAGCGCCATGATCTTGACCCTCCTAAATCATAGGAAAGGTTCTTGAGAGTTACCTTTTTTTTTTTTTTTTTTTTTGAGAGGTTTTTGCTATAGGGCACGTGCGCTTGCCAGACAGACAGAGAGACAGAAAGCGAGAAATCACCCCCCCAGGGGGGATGGCCACACCGCAATCCCTGCTCCTCCATTCCCCTCGCCCGGCGTGAGTTTTAAGCCGCCGATTCCGGTCGACTACGTGGGAGTCCAGCGACATAGCCATTACACCAACTGCTGGTTCCCGAGAGTTACCTTTTTGCCATCAGTGCTAATTATGTAGTATTGTTGCTTTTAAGAGAAAACTGGGTGATTTTCTTGGTCAAAGGTTCCTATATGCCGTGAGCAGCTGCTAATCTCATGTCCTACTTGATCAGCCTTCTTTTCTTTCTTTTTTAATTTTTATTTTGTTTGTGTGCTTGTTGAGGAATGAGAGAGAAAGTAAGAAAGTACACCCCTCCCTTGAGGAATGGCCATATCGCAATTGCCTCTCCTCCATTTCTCCCTCCTTTTGGGATTTTGGGCACATACGTGCGTGCACACACACATGCTTGGTGTGTTTCTCGAGTCTCTGGATCTAAACTTGGACCCACGCAGTCAGCCATGTGGATACAGCCACCTGCGGAACTACACCACGGGCTGGCCCTTGATTAGTGTTTTTAGGGTGAACCCTGTGGTTCACCTCCCCAGTATTTTTTATTTTTATTTATCATTATTATTATTATTTTAAAAATTTGCTCCAGGACACATGCTCATCAGGGAGAGAGAGAGGGAAAGTGAGAAAGCAAGCTGCCAGGTCCAGGACTCGAATCACGACCATGTGGGAGTCCAGCGCCCCAACCACCAAGCCACCTGCTGGCCCCTCATCTCCCCAGTTTTAAGCGTGAGAAGGGACCGTTCCAATAATACATCTGGCAGTTTCAGTGCTAGTGCTTTTTACCTTGCACATGGCTCAGTGGCCATCTTGAAGCAACAGTACTTTGTGTTTATGTATGTGGGTATTTTGTGTTCTGTGAGGGCTTGAAGAGGAGAATGAGTCAGAAGGAGAGGCACTTGAGTCTTCCTCGGGTTACCTGAACTCTTGCAAAATGCCCCACATGTCCTGATACAGCTGGAGTCCGGCTTGTGTCCCCCATGACTCTGAGCCTGAAACACATGTCCCTTGAGTAAACTTACCCTGTAAGAGCTTTCCTGCTTAGCAGGAGTTCACTTTGCATCAGGAAGGGGGAATGAGATGCCTGACTCTCTCCTCTCCTAGAATTTTAGTGAGGAGGGTCAGGTGCCAGGACTGAGCCTTAGCCCCATGAGTTGAGTAAACTGAGTGGGAGCTGGGGTGCTCTGCTGCCCTTTCCTTGGGGGCTACTTTCATGCTGTTTTTTGTAGGACTCCCATTATGGAGATTTTGCTTATTTTTGTTAGCTTTTTGTTTCATGGTGGTTTTTGTTTTTTATAGGGAATGAGTAAGAGAAATTCTGTGATAATTTCAACCTGCTTTCTTGACCTGTGGTATTTCCAAGTGGTTTTTTTCCCCTGAAAATGCAAATCTAATGTTGTCACCCAGGCCTGAGCCCTCCCTTGGTTCTGTGTCACCTGGCTGCCTATCTCCCACTACCCCCATGTACTCATCTGTATTTGGCATGGCTGTCCCTGTCTCTCTTCCCCTCCCTTATTTCAGCTCTTTGCTCAGATCCCACCTGCCAGCAGACTCCCCTGCTGCACCCTTAAACAGCCTTGCCACTTGTCTCTCACCCCCGTAACTCTGGCATGTCCTCACGGCATATGAGGTCCCATAACGCCGCAGTTAGGTAGTGTGCAGAGGAAGCTGAGTCTTATATAGCCAACCAGGATCTGTGCTGACTCGAGAGGTTTGAAAAGTACATTGTGTGTGTGCATGCTTAGAATCCCCACAGGACAGAGAATTGGAGGGAAAAGGATTGTGGTCAGGTCTCATGGTGGAGAGTATGAGGGGTACACTTCTTTCCCCCATCCCCCTTTCTCCCATGTACATGTGCCCTGGCATTAAAAAGGAAAAAAAAAAAAGTGTGTGTGTGTGTGTGTGTGTGTGTGTGTGTGTGTGGGGAGGGCAGGGACCTCCTTTTCTTTTTAAAAATATATTATTTATTTACTTTTATTTATTATTTTATTTTTATAGGGCATGTGCACTTACCAGAGAGAGAAAGAGGGAGAAGTGAGAAAGCAAGCTGTCAGGTCCAGGACTCGAACTATGTAGGAGTCCAGTGCCTTAACTACAGTGCCACCTGCTGGCCCCTGTTGACACAGCCTGGAACTGTGCCATGCCCCCCCCCCCCCCAGGGCCCGGGCAGCATCCACAGCTGCAGGTGGTGCTGCTCTTTCAATAGCAGCATCCTTCCCCAGGATCTGGGATATGTTAAATGAGTGTTGTTGTTTTTATTGTTAGTGCCAGAGTGCATGTGCATTAGAGAGAGGGAGGGGGAGGAGAGAAAGGGAAGGAGCAAGAGATAAAGCACCCTCCAACTGGCCCTGGTCACACTGTAATCCTTTTTCCTTTAATTCTCCATTCTGTCAGGATCCTCGGTTTGCATGAACACCTGGTGTGTTTTTTAAGGCCACTGGGCTGGGATTTGAACCCCGGACAGCCTTGTGGGATTAAGCTTCCTCTCTGCAGTGGAGCAAGCCCCAGTTAGCATTATTTTAAGTAAACATTTAATAATCTATAGTATAGATATATCATAATTAATTGGCTATTTTCTCAAGGCTGAACATTTAGGTTTCTCTCATAATAATAGTAAAAAATTACTGAAATATTTTTTTCTTTTTAAATTTTGTTGTAGGGTGTGTACACTCATCAGAGAAAGATAAGAGACAGAGAGATAGAGGAAAAGTGAGAACCCCCCCACACACACACCACCACTACCAGCAGCAGGGGTGATGGCTGTGCTGCAATCCCTTCTCCTCCATTCTCTTCTCAGGATTTTGGGTATGCATGCACATGCCTGGCCTATTTTTCAGTCTGTTTTCCCAGGTCTGGGATGGTTGTTCAGTTGGTCGTGTGGGATCCAGTCACCTTAATCTCCACACTATCAGCTAGCCCCCCTGAAATATATCTTTTAAGGCTTTTTTAATATGTACTATCAGATCGCCACCCCCATAAAGGTTGTGTTTGATTAGACTTTAGTTGCTTGTATTTATTTATTTTTGAGAGGTTTTTGCCTTAGGGCATGTGCTCTTCCCAGAGAGATGGAGAGAGACAGAGAGATAGGAAGTGAGAAATCATCCCCCAGGGGCAGATGGCCACATTGCAATCCCTTCTCTTCCATTCTTTTGGGATTTTAGGCATGCACGCACATGCGCCCAGCATGTTTCAAGCCACTGGGTCTGGGACTCCAACCGTGGTCGACTATGTCCAGTAATGTAATCATTATGCTGTCAGCTGGTCCTGTTGTTTTTATTTTTTAAGAAAAAATCACATATGCTGTACTGGATGTGGGCAGTGGAAGTCTTGTTTCTGAACTGCTGGAGACAAGGGAGTAGAAGGCAGAGAGCTAGGAGACACCTTGTGGGTGGGTGTTCATGTCTTTCCTGGGAGGGGCAGAGTAGCCTGGCCAGGAAGCTGGGCCAGGAAGAGCTTTATCTGCTCATGAATCATTACTGTGGCAACTTTATTTAATTTATTTATTTATTTTTGGGTGGGTGGGGGCAAACTGAATTCTTTAAGGATTTAAATACTTCTTACCTAAGTGAGAGCATGTAGCTTGTTTAAAGCAACTTCATTGATAATACCTTCAGGCCAGCCTATGGTGTGGTGGTTGGAGGCAGCTGGATCCTACATAGACAACTGTGCACTTTGAGTCCTAAACTCAGCAGCTTGAAAAACACGCTGGATGCATGTGCATGCATGCCCCAAATCCTGAGAGGAGAATGGAGAAGAAGGGACTGTGGTGTGGCTACCCCCCTGGGAGAGGGGTACTTTCTCTAGCAAGCACATACACCCTATGGCAAAAATAAGCAAAATGGTGATATCACTAAGGCTTTAAGTAAACACAACTGGTCTTGACTTCCTGCATATAGTGACATTTCTTAAAAATTTTATAACAATGTATTCCTAAGGTCTGAGGGCAGATATGAGAAAATTTCATCCCTTTCACAACTATGTAGCATACTTGGTTTGAGTTATTTTTGTGACAAAGTACAAAGAATTTAGACTCTTTGTTTATCCTTTTCTTATTATAACATATGTATTTTTAAGTTTATTTATTTCATGAGATAGAGAGGAGAAAGACAAGTCTACTCAACAAAGTCTTATGCCATGATCCTCCCCCCAGCCTTTTCAGCCAGCCAGAGCCATGGACATGAGCATGTGCTCAGTGTATACAGGCCTCAATCCAGGAACCAAACTCTGATTGTCCATATGGCTCCAGTATTGCAGCATGGCAGCACACTACTGCTGGTCCAGGGTGACTGGGCCTCTTATTGTAATATCATTGAATGTGAAGATATATAGTAAGAAAAGATAGAAGAGTAAGAGTAAGAGTGCATATGTACAGTTCCCTTCAGTGGTGTAGAGTCATTGTGTGTTTGTGTGTGTGTTTTCATTTACAAACATTTCACAAATATCAGTCATCTTAGTTCTTAAACAGATTAGAAATTTACTCTCATTTTATCCTCTTATTGTTTGTTTTGCTTTTAGATTTTTGCCATAGGCCTTATGTGCTCATCAAATAGAGTGGGAAAGTGAGAAATTACCCCGCAGAGGTGATGGCCATGCCACAATTCTTTCTCCATTCTCCTCTTGGAATTTTGGGCATACATGCACACATACCACTTTGATATTCAAGTCACTGGGTCTGGGTCTTGAACCACTGTTAGCCACATGAAAATACAGTGCTATAAAAGCCACATCACTCACTGGCCTCATTGTTAAAGCATATTAAATGTAAAGGAGTTGTGTTGGTAGTACTCTTTATGCCTTATTAGTGATCCACAGCTGTCTGGTAGTCTGTCATTCTCATAGTTCTTCAGTTTCAGAGTGGAATACTTAGTTGCGTTTATTTTGTGTTTGGTAACAGAATGTATCTCCTTGTTTCACAGATGCAAGTAGTAACAGAGTTAAAAACTGAACAAGACCCGAGCTGTTCTCAACCTGATGCAGAAGGAGTGAGCCCTCCTCCTGTGGAGTCCCAGACACCGATGGACGCAGACAAGCAGGCCATTTATAGGTAGCCCTTGAGCTACACAGCATGTGGGTTTGCAGAGGAGGAAAAAGAATAGAAGACCTGTTAAATGAAATTCTAGAGCTATTAGAGCAGTGAGGTGCCATTATGATGTGATAACTGCTTGGATAAGTGGTTTTTTGTTTTGTTTTGTTTTGTTTTTTTTTTAGATTGAGATGGTATTTCTAATAACTAAAAAAAAAAAAAAAAGAAAGAAAAAAAAAAAAAAAAA